CCAGAATATAACCCCTACAATCAAACATGGGGGCGGTTCGGTCATGGTATGGGGGTGTATGGCCGCAAATGGTGTTGGCAAATTAAGGATTATAGAAGGCATTATGGATAAGGCTATGTACATTGACATTTTAAAAGATACTTATCTTCCTAGTGTGGAAATGTTAGATTTGGAAGGAAATTCTATATTTCTCCAAGACAACGATCCGAAGCATTCTTCTAAAGTGGTAAAGGAATGGCTTCTCTATAACRCCAGACATAAGCTGGAACATCCCCCACAATCTCCCGATCTTAATGTTATCGAACATTTGTGGGATATTTTGAAGCGGAATCTGAAAAAACGGCAAATATCATCCATTGCAGGTCTAAAGGTAGCATTAATGGAGGAATGGAGTAAAGTTACTCCCGATATTACAAAAAAATTGGCATTATCCATGCCCTCTCGTCTGGCAGACGTAATAAAAGCCAAAGGAGGTCATACCGACTACTAATTTATTTATATATTTTTTAAATAAATATGCGTATGTAAACTTATGTAAAAGTTCGGAACCTGAAAAAGTGAAATGTTTTGTGTTATTAAATATAAATTTATTAAATTGAACTATTTTTAAAATTCCTTTTTAATATTTCATACTTTGAAATAAAATAAAACCAAAACAATTATTATATGCGCGTTTTTCCTTATCAAATTGAAAATTTTAGTACCGTATGTAAACTTTTGTAAGACTGTGTATTTTGGCAGTGACTCCCCTACAACAGTATAATCAATTCTTTTTTTGCTCTGTATTCGATATTCGGTTTCCACGAAAGCTTCTTATCCAGGATAAGCCCTAGATATTTCACTGTATTCTAGTAGATAAAAACATCTTGGTTTTATTTATCAACACAAATAAAACCAAGGTAAGGCCTCTTCCGACTGTCCAATTTGTTACGACGCTGAGATACCCATGGGTCAACTCGAACATGGTACTCAGGAACTTTTCTTTAACCAACAGTGCTACATAATCTGTATAGGCAATCATACAGCAGCCACAATCCTCAAGCAGGCGGTTAACAACCAGAATCCATAGAATGGAAGAGAGAACTTCATCTTGTTGGTTTCTTCAAAGTATTTATTAAGAAGTAGTTGAGGCTGATGGACTTGAAATCCGTGATGTAGATTTCCGCAACGTATATAGGCGCTACCTGCGTCACTTACTGGTGGCTTTCCAACAGCTTTCTCAAACCTACAGCTCGTAATCTGAGACGGGCTTATCTCGGTTTTAATGGGGGCGGTTGCTACATTGTCTGATGAGTGTCACTCCATCAAAATACGGTGTCGGAATAACACAGCCAAAAACTCAGGATCCTATAGAGCTGATCATACTAATAATTCAGTTCCAACACTAAAGTAATCCAGGTGTTGAAAGGCTGTGAAGGCCGGATGTCATTTAGCGTACGCCGGCAACCAGCACTACATCCTACAATTGATCCTTACTGTATACCACTATCTGTTAGTATTTCTGCGCGCCATTTCTATTAATGAAATGCGGCATCTAAATTTGCCGGAAGAAATCACGATGAGAGTATTTTTAAGAATATATTACACCCCGAATCTCTATTTGATATTATCAGTTCACTTACTAAGTCTAGTACTTTTCCGATTTATGTTTTCCTATAAAACGTTCACATCCTTTATCAGTTGCCTTACTTGTGAACCTACAAATAATCCCGATTTAAACCTTACCATGCTGAGTTTGGGGAATTTTTCTTTCAGATATACAAATCCATTGCTATATCTAGGCGTGACTTAAAAAAAAAATGTATCACTCCCAGCTGGATAGTTGGGTTATGCTACTGTGTTGATACTGGGTAATGTGTTTGGACTTGCTTGTAATGCCTTGCTCATCCTCTTGCAACAGGTATTTTCGATAAAAAATTCTAGGTTATAATCCAATTTCAATCATTTCATACTTGCAAACGAAAATTTACCCCAAAGCAATCTCTATTATACTATTATATTATTTACTATTATATATTATACTAATATAACAAGAATTGTATTACAAGCATAAATATGTAGAATTTTTTCCGAAAATTGTGAAATGTATCAGTGTGTCACGTGATTTTAAGGTCTAATTGCCATTTTGATAACTTAAAGAAGAATTCTCATATTTTTCAACTAAACAAGATTGGAATATCTCCAACACAAAATCCTGGTTCAGGTAGCACTATATACTATTAAAATTCCTTTTAACCTGCCAATCTCAAAACCAAGGCCTTCTTGCAAAAATTTTACCTATAAAGCATCATACTATAAATATTCTTAAAATTAATTAAAATATTTATGTGCACAATGTATCCGTAAATGTGTAAAGGAATTTATAACACTTGTATTACAGAAAATCGTTACCAATATTAGTCTTATTCCTGGTATTCTATAGCGCCAATTAAAAATCTGCAGACTCAGAACTGAAATCAGCACTCTGCTTGGAATTGGAAAAATTAAAATTTGTCTTTCTGTGCCATATTACAATTTCTTTCGCTGATTGCTTTTTATTGTTGTTGAAAAATTGAATTGAAACATATTTGGTATGTAAATAAAC